TATTTTAAAAATCTGTATTCCTGAGAAAAATGTTGTAATATAGTATTGTCCTAGAATTGTATGCAGCTGACAGGGTTGTCATCAGTGTGTGTGTGTGTGTGTTTTCAAGCAAAAGTTTCTATATACAACCATTTTTTTCATATAAAAGTTACTTTTGTACACCTCCACTCCTTGGGTAGTTTGTTTTCTCAATTTTATCTGACATTCTAAAGCCACCTCCCTCATTGTATGCCTCTATAATTTCCTTATTAAGAACCCTGTATTCAAAGGCCTCCACCTTCTTTTAAAGGCCATATTGTGTGCATTCTTGTAGGCATCATGGTTGGTCCCGGGCTGTCTAGGGAGCCTGTCTGTGATTCTGCTATCATTGTTTGGTTCTAGGACTTCTTCAAAGCCACAGAAAACTCAGGGTTATACACTGCCCACACACTGGACCACCCCATGACAGAAAAGCTGGTCAAGAAAAATGCAGACTATCTCATTGAAGCCTCCATGATAACCATATAGAAGTAAAAGACCACCAGGATGGGAATCAAGGGAAGGATATTACTTTTATTCTGACCTTTGTAAAGCAAGGAGTTACTCATTATCAATTGTTTGGGAGACTCCAAGGCAGCAAGAGGAAAAGCTCATGCTGGAAAAATATAAAGGCTCAGATGTCCCAGGACTGGAAGCTCAGCACAGGAAAGCGGAGAAGGGGCTGATGAATGTCTTATGTGACTTATTAGGGGTGTATATTTGCTTCCATTCTGGTCTCACAAAAACATTCACCATGAAGTTGGCAATGGTGGGGGAGACATTTACATTAGCCAAATTTCTAAATACAATTGGCTAAGGCTTGTCTTATTGTTTTGTTGATCAGCAGTATCTCAATGAAAAGGAACAGCGGGTAACAAAGAATTCAACATGTGTTCATTCAGTAGCTTTATACTGTAAAATAGCACAAAAATGAGACATACCTTTTTCAGCATTAAAAAACTATCGACACATCATATTTTAGCAAATGAGTCATGTCGCCTGATGAAGGAGTTACATTCCAACAAATGCTTGAATAAAACCTTTTTTTTGTTGTTGTCGTTTGTAAAAAATATCAGCCAATAATATTCATAACAGTATAATATATGTATGAATTGTTGGTATAAAGGGACCCACACTTCATTATCCTTTAATGCCTATAGAATCTGTAGTGATGTTTCATCAATATTTCTTGGACATTGGAAATTCATGTATTCCCATCTTTTCTTTATGATCAGTTTGGTGTGTTCATCAATTATCCTGATATTAAGGCTTTGATTTCAATTAA